TTGGCTCGTTTAGGTCAGACACGTTGCAGTTAGGATTACCCTGTATTTTCTCGGTTGACGTCTCATACCCACTGGCTGGTTTGAAGCATCATGCGGTTCATCTGCCAGGTGACCAGCAGGTCGGCATCTGCTCGAGTCTTCATGACCTGGAAGCGGCTTCGACGCGGCACATGAGTGGCCAGGCGAAGACAGGAGACTTGATCAGAGAGCTGAGGCATGCGGAGGCCCTTCAGGCAATGCACGCTGCTTGCAGCAGTCCGCATGACCTGGATTTCCTTGTAGGCGAATGAACAAACACCGCATTACCTGTTGAATCTCGCGCCACGTGCTGACATTCATGGTGTTCTAGCGGCTCTAGCGATGGATGGCAAGAGGAAGGAGTCGCACATCTGGTGCGACACCGTGCGCAGAAGTTCCCCAGCGCAGGTCGACGCTTCCGATCGATCGGTTTGGCGTTCTCACCGGCCTGAGGCGGAGCTCTCACGATGACATGGGACCGTGAAGTGCGTTCTTTGACCCACTTCTTGAAGACACTTCACTGAGGCTTCACTATCTTCACTATTTGGCCTGTCAACGTCACGTAACGAAGCCTCACCACCGGTTGAGTTCAAAGCGCCTCACGAAGCTGACCTAGGACACCAGTTTGGAAGGGAGTAGCGGATCGGTGGGGCTTTGTTGACCTGGTTGGGAGCCATCGGTGTGGAGCTTTCCGAGCTTTCGCCGGCTTGAACACCAAGTTTTCATGGACTCACCCAACCTCAAAGCCACTCAAACCAGCGTTTTGGGCATGACTTTGGACACCTTGGTGTGGATGGTTGCGTGCTATTAGGCTTTGTGGGCTGGTGGAGTTGGACCGGAAGGTGCCTTTGGTTGGCGCCACCGTGAGTAACCGGCCTCGGCCGGACGGGACTTGTCCGACAGCGCAAGAAGTGTTCCAAGGGCTGGGCCATCCTAGTAGCGATGCCAGGAGCCCCGTTCGTAGCGTCCTTGTTGCTACTAGTAAGGCACTTGTTACTAGTAGCGATGCACTTGTTCCTAGTAGCATCCTTGCTCCTAGTAGCGATGCCCTTTGTTCGTAGTAGCGAACATTGCTCCCAGTAGCGAGGCCAGGAGCCCCTAGTAGCGTCCTCTTGCTCCGGTGAAACCTGTCGGTCTCCTCCATGGATTCCAATTGGATCGTCACTCCGATAAAGACCGAGTTGGTGATGATCACCTCAGCCACCGTTGTCGCGCCGTTTTCGGCGGTCGCAGCCTTCTCTAACCACCGCGGAGTCTAGACGAAGTGCCCAGTCTGAACATCCATGGGGCTCTCGAAGAACCGGATCAACAGGCCAAACACCGTTCGGCATCACCTGCTCGACCTAGATTCATCCACCCAGCTTGCCTTCACCGCCCACTACTGGGCGTTATACGCTCTCCATGTTCCGAGAGGCCAAAGCGAAGAAGGACTCGAACTGCCAGGAGTCGACGAGATCTCTCAAGGTCCTTCGACCTGACTGTGTCCGGGCCGAAGAGGAAAGGTGTGACAGGCCGGGTTCCCTGCTTCTTTTTGAGACTCCGCCGGATCGACTCACTCTTTGGGCCAAGATGGCCATGCATTGCTTGTGCATCAAAAGAGACACGCATGGACACAACATCAGGTTATCGCCAAAGCTGCAGAAACCAAAGGCAAGAGGTCAAAAACAATTAATCTTCCAAAACAAGCGACAAAAAACAGATTCAAACATACATCACCCTCCCGAGAACATGGCTGCCAAATGAATGCGATCCCAAACCACCTACACGTTTCACGATTTGTCACATGCTTCGAGCGACAGTGGCTCATCTTCTCGAAGGACTTCGATCTGCTGGGGATCCGTAAGGCTTCTTGCTTCTCGCTGACTTCTTTGGCCTCACAAACAGGACCAAATAACATGAGAAAAGGACCCGGACCGTCGGTCGAACCTCTGCATGAGTGAGTTAGGTATGAGTTGAAGTCACGAAAACCCTAAAGCAGTTTGTTTGGGGGCTGATTGCTACGTCATGCTACTCAAGCCGAGTGGATGCAAAATTGAGCGCCTCAATCCGGACATGGACATAACTAGTGGCTGAGCCTCCTCCAGGATCCTAGGTAATTCCTACCACAACCCCATTCAAGACAGCAAGAACATCCTATACACCCCAGGATTCCTTTCCCACCATTGATTCATTTTCTTCTTTACTTTACCGAATAGACCACTGTTGTAGGAGGGATTTTAGACTACAACACCAGGTCAACCTTTCCTTTTGGTCTTTGAAGGCTGGGGTGGTCAACATCCTTCTTTAGAGGCTGTTGGCATGGCTGAGTCAGCAACAGTTCTCTGCATCGTAGAATACAAAGAGCGATTGGCAAATATCACTTCAGTCTCCAAATTAGGAGCAATTCTTCCCAAATTAGGACACAACCACAGGTTCTGCAGGTTTCCCTCGTTCCCTTCGGCTTCTTCACCCGGAGTCTTTGAGTCGAACATGTCCATTTGGAGCCAACGACCGGTGCGACCGTCGTCCACGCCGGATCCTCCGGAGACCCGGGGCCGCACAACGGTCGACCGGGAAAGCTTTCCACATGCCCAGTCGACACTTCCTGGCTCCTTTCATCCCGGCTTTCTTTTTGCCTCCTCTGGGGATGGTTTATGGATCTATTTAACAATTAAACCACAAAAGGCCAACGATTTCCGACAAACTCAAAGCTCCACGTCCTCGCCTCCGCCCCCCAAACACGCCAAACCCAGGCACCAAGTTGTAGGTCTCTGAGCGCCGCGTGTTCAGCATGCTGGGCCGCGACGTGTCGCCGGTGCGCCGCAGGTCGCCGTCGGACTCGGCGCGCGCCGCCGGTCGGCCTGGAGCTTGGGAAGATGGATGATTTTCTGTGGGGAAAATGGAGACCTCTAAATAAACCTCTAAAATAGAACTTTCTGATGAAACATTCGAACTTGGATTTGACTTGAGTTGCAGTCCAAATCATTTGTGTTTGGGGCGTTTTTCGGGCATAGGAGGTGTCTCCTTGCCTTTTCCGACCTCTGCCTACAGGGTATCGTTCAGGGTCCGCTTTCGAGGAAGAACTCTAGATCATCTGGATGAAAGCCTCTTGATCATCATCATCATCGTCGTCGTCGTCGTCATCATCATCTGCATGGAAACATGATCATGATGATTCTCTTATCTTCCCTTGACCCTGACGGTCTCTGACTCAGAAAACCCAATGACACGTCATGGAACACTTCGCAAATTCTTTCAGGTCGTCTCTCACCGTCCGAGTCTTCGAATCACCCAAGTCATCCGCCTCCATCTGCATCTTCCAAGGCAAAGAACACCTGGTCCGAGGGACCGGAGCGCCGTTTCGTCGTCCGGCCGCGTCACCATGAGCAGGTCGTCGGGGCATGACCGCCGCTTCGGTCGCTTTTGAACCATGTTCGGTCGGAGCGGCCTGGCAACACCACCCTTTTCGGCCGCGGACGGTCCAAACGGACTCCACAGCCCACTTTCAATCTGGGGTAGATGGGGGGGGCCAAATGCTAGAATACAGTGTAACGCGAACTTATGGAAGGATTGACCACCTTCCTGGTCCCTTGCGTCCAAGGATCGTTCTTCTTCTCCGGAATGGGCAGCACCGTCGGCAGTGGCAGTGCCTCCACGTAGGAAGCCAAGTCCAAAAAGAGCCGCCGCTGGTGATCCTATGCCGAGGCTCTGAGGCAACGGAGTCTTCAGCACGAAGACTGCTGCGTTCCACACCGACAACGGTGGCGGGGGGGGGGCACCGTAGGGGTGGATGACCAAACAAAAATCCTGGGCCCTTAGGGATGGTTTCATCCTTTAACCCTTCCTTTGCGATGGTGATTGACTGCTGAAGGAACTAAGAGGTTGGTTAAGATCCAAGTCTTGGAGACTCTGCGTTCGAGAACGGAGGATCACCCCCACCCAAATCAGCTGCCTCTCACGGCTGTCAATTGAACAAAACCACACGGACCCGTCCCAAATCGATTTCCAACCTAAGAAACCATCAGTGGCCATATTAGGTCTTGGACATGCTCCAAAAGAGGTCTTACTTAGCGAAACCGTTTCTCCAGTATCTCTAGTGCGAAACAACCTGAAGACACCCCCACACATCAGCTTTCAGGTACAGCTTTGCTGCTTCCCAAAGAAGGCAACCAACACTCACAGTTCCAGCAACAGAGAAACACACTCAGTAACACAAAACAGAAACATCAAATTGGCCCTCCTGCGTGATGGCCCGCAAGTTCTTCAGCAGCAAATCTTTGTCCCGTTCCATCGTCTTCGACGTGAACCCGTCGCGGTGACGGGAACGAACCCAACACGTCGTCAGGAAACACGGTTAGTCTGAGGTGTTTTGATCGACGTCAAACGAAGTGGCGAGCACTCACTCTGGTGTTTCTGTCGTCTTCGTGTAAAAACCTTCATCTAAGTCTTTTGATGTTCTTTGTGATGCTTGGGTTGGGTGGAAAAGGTAGGCCAAAATCGCGATCTTCTCAGGATTCGTTTGTTCTCTTGCCGTGCTTGTGTTTGTTATTTTCTGAATCGTTTTGACCTTTCTGCTGTGACCTGCATCCATCCATTCACTCCATCCGAGATCCATTTCGGTGAACGCCTTTCCACTCTGAGCCGGAACCGGGCTCCATGCGAGCGGCGAACAAGTCGTGCATGGAACCTCATCGACTGTTGCAATCAACTTTTCAGGTGTGGTCAGAAGGGAATCATTCAACAGTTTGCAACAATCACTTCCACTTACGTCCGTGGCTACAGCTACTCATGGGTGGAAACCGGTACTCTAAAGACCCTGCCACAAAGAAACACACACACGTTCGACACCTTGCTCCTAACAGGGTTGTTCTTGCTCCTAACAGGGTTGTTGGGAACTTTGAGGCAAAAGTGGAGAACCCATGGCCATCTGCCAGTGGCCCATGCTGCTGCGGCTGATTCCCCACGAATTCCAAGAGCCCCCTCAGCCGGTCCCCGAGCCGCGCCCGAGCTCATCGGACCGGTCGGCCGCCTGGGAAAGCGCTTTCAAGCGCTTTCAACGCACACACAGCTTTGGGAGAATGAAGTAGCACTGCATCTACCTGGGATGTCTAGTGGCCAACTGAACCAAATAAAGGATTATAGAGGATTTATCCAGTCCAAAAAAACACACATTGTGGTGCCTAGACGGACACAACAGTTGAGGGCTCAAAAGAGATGACACATGCAACATTTTTGACCAGATCAGTATGTCAACTTGCAGTGGGGTTGATATTTTCTATTTGCATGCCATTTCTCTTTCCATTTATCATCGCTTACCTCGGAAAGGTGTTTGTCTCATCATAAGCCAATTCAACACTTCTGGAAATGTCGCACTTCCTTTGCCGCATGGAAACATGCACCATGGACATCAGCGGTAGAAACACCATCGAAGGCCGCTTCAACTCCAAAGTCAGGCCATCCTTTTTCATGACATCAGTTCCATCACGCTCGGCGTAGAAAGTGAGAGGGTCTGCCACAAATCTCTGAGCGTCCCAGGCACTCGCAGCTTTCAGGGTGGCCAAGACCACCTGAACAAAACGATTTTTGAGGCTTCGTACGGCTTCGTGGTTCACCCGCAAAATTGCATCTTTAGTGGGTTAAGGTTAAAGGTTACCCGAAAGTTATCTGTAAGGTTGCTGGGTGTCTATAATAATCCCTGTTGTTTCAGAAGAGTGAAGCAAGCCACATTGGCATGTATACATATGCGCATTTCACTTGCCACTGACTGTGCAAACAGCGCGGAACTAGGTGGCCCTGCTTTTCGCTCGGAACTTCGTGTGTCGCTGCTTCGCTGGTTGGTCCAGACCCTCGCTCCAGCTGCATAGCCGAGATTACCCAGGCTCCCTACTGCCTGCGCAACTGAATTTCAGCCTCTACCTCATTTACACGTTCACCCCAGCCCTGTGGACCAGTCCTCGAATGCCTCCTGGAGCAAACCAGGAGATCTTGGCGACACCACTTTCATCCTGATGGGAAGGCTCAACGGCAACAACAAGTCTGGAAATCAGAGGTGCAAAGGAACAGCTGGATTTCCAGTGAACGCCAGTATGCAGGTGGCCTGGCCACTCAAGGCTTGCTGGCCGACCGGCTTCGCTATTTATGGCAGAGTGAAGTTTGTCTATGACCCGGGCTATGGCGCTGCCAAGAGGACAGCGAAAGAACGCGAGGCAAGCTTCCTCGAATTTGCCAGGAGCCCACCCAATACAACTCACATCAACGCACCAACCAACTCCACAATCCTCAGACAACTACAACACAACAGGTCCCTTGTGGGAAACTCATGATCATGGCACCTACAGGTACTCCATGAACAAGCCGTGTGTTGTTTGCACTTGTTGCCCTGATACAAGTCAAGGCCACTACAGCGATGACCGAGACATCATCCAGGCTAATGACAACACGGACTTAGCCGAGATCCTCGATTACAACACCACTGACCACATGTCCTATGAATTCAGAATGGAAAAAACACTTTGCTTCATGATCGGAGCCCTCTTTGGCATCCTCATGTTGGCATGTTGTTGTGGCTACCTGTTTGGTCGTCGCCAAGGCCGACTACAGGAACAGGCACTTCGAGCAGAATGCCCCCGTCTTCGCGATGAGATCCTGCACGCAAAAGCACGGAGCACGCAAGAGTGCTTCAGGAAAAGATCAACCCAATCCAGACCATGAAGGAGAAGGAACAGGCGTTGAATGAGGCGTTGGAAGTCGCCCACATCCAGGATCAACTCCCAAAAGTCGAGGCGTTTCTTTCTGGCTGGCACAAGCACTGATAAATCGCCCCGTGCGAGAAGAGGAAGAGTGCCATGTGCTCCTGGAGACATTTGCACCTCACCTTGTGGCGCATGCTGGCACGGGAATTCTTCGTGCAGCGCACATTCAAATGAGAACTTTGTTGCGCTCCGTAGAGCATGTCCCATGTGTGTAGGACCAGCTAATGCGCTGGACCGGCGACGTGGCATCACGGGAGCAACACTCTAGGAACAACCCCATCAGTTTGAAGAGGATTGTGGTGCTGCCACATACGAGATACACCTTGCATGAGGTCCCTTTTCCTGTGTCGGTTCAGAAGAGCGCAGAAGAGCGACGCAAGCCACATTGGCGTGTATACATATATGCCGACCGTTTCCTTTTCTTCTCAATCCACCTAAAGAGCGGAACTTTGCACATTTCACTTGCCACTGACTGTGCAAACAGCGCGGAACTAGGTGGCCGTGCTTTTCGCTCCGAACTTCGTGTGTCGCTGCTTCGCTGGTTGGTCTAGACCCTTGCTCCTGCTATAATCCCCATTTTCTTTGATATCTTCCAGTTCTTGCACAACTCGGTACAACCAAAACATAACCTTCTTGCAACCTGCATCAAATTTGCAACTTGCAGATTTTGGACTCTACCCTTCGGGCCAAGATGATATAGCAATCCAAAAGCGAAGGGCCACTGCATTTCTTGGCACTGACGAACATACACCCAGGGGTGTCTCCATGATCCGATTGGACATCCAACCACAGTGATCTTTCCCAAGATATGTACCAAGAGGAGATTTCCACAACTTCCTCCCTGCGTTTAGCCACATCAAACTTTCCCCCCACCTGGTTCCCCACCGCGTGCGCCTCCTCTGGCAGATCCATCCAGGTCAACTGGCGCGACCCGTGTGTGTGGACGGTCCCTTCCCCTCCAACGGGCTTCGGGTGTTGGAGCCCCCCTGCGAGTCCTGTCCAGGCCGTGAGTAGAAGACGTCCACGTCGGCCGTTGGTCGGCCTTCATCGATGGTTTTGGCCGCCATGATTTGATGTGAAGCTTGGGTTATACATGGTTATACTGGGCACAAATCACATAGGACTTAAGGCGTCAAGTCACATAAGGAATATAGTAGGGTAAGTGAGGTAAGTTCTATGTCATGTCAAAAACGTGTTGGCACCTAACTGTTAGGTGACTGTAGGTAGAACAGGCCGAGATACGACTTGTGGCATCGCTTAAAGAGCAGCCTTGTGCTGGGTTGCATGGGCAATCTGGTGATTCTTGCACTATCACTATCTGTTTTGGTTCCTTTTGCCTGATGACATGGGATTTACACACTCCGGATACAAAGTGGATAAGGCAAATGAGTTCCCATGTATGTTTTGTCGTTTTCTAAATCCATGTCGCCCGAATGTAGTATACGCCTGAGAAGTCACAAGTGCAGTGACATGGGTATCCATTGGGGTCCTGGGGAACCCAGTAGATGAGTTTTAATTCTAATTCTAATTGAATTCTTGTTTCTAATGGCTTCTTGTTACTAGTAGGGCCGGGAGCCCCTAGTAGCATCCTTGGGTAACATCGACCAGTCAAACTCCCGGTTTACCAGCCACGGAAGGACTCAGACTGCACGGTGCCGCATGACCCATCGACCCCGCAGGCGTTCGACCTGATGTTCCTTGGAGAACTCCTGGCACTGGCCGAGATGCGCTGGAGGTTGCAGCGCGCCGCGCGTCGTTTCGCGGGACTTCGCGTATTTTTCATGGCTTGGCAGGGCGGAGGTTGCAGTGCGCAGTTTTCTATGTCCTTTTCATCCGCCAGCGGCGCCAGCGCAACTGAAGTGTCCCCGTGCAGTCTCAGTTCCCCTAAAGGAGCGAAAGGTGGTGGCCTTTTGATCTCCTGTTGATCAACTGACTAGGAAGTTCCTCTGCTCAAAATATGGCTTGCCACCTCTTAAACATATCTACGCTTACAATCATCCCCTCTAAAACCGCCTGGAAAACACTTAGCATCATCTTTCATCCGGGAATCTTTTCGATATCTTTCATCACTTAGATCATCTTATTGTATCCAATTTCATCTATGCATAATATCATCATCTTATCTCCTATTTCACCTCTGGAACCACCACACAAATCTCCACCACTGCTCCTCCATGGCTTGTGCCGTGCGCCGCGCATCACCTGCGCGGACCGGGGACGTTTGACAGGCACAACGAAAAAACAGAACGTCAGCAAACCATTTTTTCAAAACGCATAACGCGAGGGCGATTTTGGAGCAGAGTTTAGGAGACCCCACTGAGCATGAAGGAAAACACGACAGCGAGATGTGGCAATGCATGTTCATTCTGACTGTGGCGTCGTTTTTTTCCTTCATCACCAAAGTCATGGCAAGTACCAAAGCCAAACTGTGCACGCTTGCTCCTTTGCCCTTCAAACTTTGTGAAACATTTTGACACTTGTGCTCATGCACATGACAGATCAAACCCGATCAAACCCAGTGAGCAAATCCACTTCCCTTGCCAAAGCTTGTCTGCACTTCCCTCTCTTAGTAGTAACAAGAAGCTACTAGGAGCTCCTGGCATCGCTACTAGGAGCAAGGACAAACAAAAACCACCACATCGCCGACCCGCGAGCGCCTGCTGCGGCTTCTTTCGTGGCATGCTGGAGCACCTGTCGTGGCGTGTTGCCCGCTCCTTTTGATGCTCCGTATGTTAAATGCTTCATCATGCTTCACTCTTTGGCCTTTCCATTTTGGTGAAACCAATCCCATCTGGTCCCAATCCGGCAGGATACATTCGTCTCCACTTAGGCCACTGAAACGCCAAGGAACCGCATGGGCAGTGCCAAAGTCCCACAAACCGCCTGGCAGCGGCGAGACGGTTTGACTCCGGACGGACGGGTCCACTTGGTTTCGAGCTACATTTGCTCCTAGTAGCGGCCAGGAGCCCCTAGTAGTACGGCCAGGAGCTCCTAGTAGCTTCTTGTTCCTAGCAGAATGGCCAGGAGCCCCAAGTAGCGTCCATAAGACAAAAGGGTCCAACAAAAATGTCACTCTGATGTGGTCGCACTGTTTCCATCACCAACTTCATAGACCCTCTGAATGGTCCAGATCTGCGCGCAGCTCGGCTTTTCGTTCACGCAAACGGCGCGCGACGCTGTGTCCGGTGCGATCTTGCTTGTTCAACACTTGCAACCCGCCGCTCTTCGGCAGTGCATCCAAAGGGTGGAACAAGAGGGCACCCCGACGAGGAAGTGATATAATATATCAACGTCAAAACACATGGCATCTGGAATAGATCAACTGGTTCCGACACCCACCTCCTAAGTTTTGATGAACGGAGAGGGCACAACCCCTACCAGTATGACATGTCTGACATGAGGACGAAGGCCTTGCACCCTAATCACACATGTCAGATGCAACGCCTGGATGTGTGTCTTTGTGTGAAGAGTTGATGACATCCTCCAACCCCAAACATCCCCAACTGGTATAGTAACAAGGTTCGCTACGAACGGAGCAAAGGGCATCGCTACGAACGGAGCAATAAAGCTACTAAATTGGTCTTTCGCAACTTGATTGCCCTCAAGGTATGTGGCAGCGACTTCAATACATATAACAGATCTCACCATGGATTTCCAGCAACCTCGGTCGCTTCCTAGATCCATTTGACCATCTTGGACCTAAATTGGGACTGTCTTCCGAAAACGATCTTCCTGGGCCTGTCACCTGTCACGGTCAATGGGTGTCTTCATGGGGTGAAAACACACCACGTGGCACAAGGGCTGACTGTTGTAGACTGAACATGCTCTACACTCGAAGCGACTCGGCGCAAAACAACAGCAAGTCGTGCAAGGCCCTGTTTTTCCCATGGCGATGATGGAACCGTCCCTTAGAGGCCCTTTTCTCTTCACAGCGGTGTCACCTCCCCTTCCACCGACCACTGCAGCGATGCCGGCGTGATCTCCTCCGGCCCTGGCGGGTCGGAGCGCGCGCCGCTTCCTCGCGCCGGCGCGGAGCTTCCGCAGGGCGGGCACAGCGCCCCCTCCTTCGCGACGGGACAACCCGTCCGGCGTTCGTGTTTTTCGGTGCTTGTGGATCGGTCCGCGGAGTGTTGGGTGGACGGTCTCCAAAGGATATCCACGAAGATCAAGAAAGGTGTTTTTAGTCAGGTGTGTGTCCTCTTGGCGACCCCTTAAAAGGTGCTTTTTAAGTGGCCAACACCTTGCACGGCCTGCCTTCGCGCAACTCATCACGCTTGGTACGAAAGTGAACCCCAGGAATGGTCATTTTCTGACCAACAAGTCTGTCGCATGGCTGCCAGGGTCTATCCTAATATTATACCACATTGTACCAGTATCAGTGGATGATGGTTCAGTTGCAGGCCTTTCCTCTCTTTGACTGCGACGATGTCAGGTCAGTTCGGACCGACGAGCCCATTGGGCGAACGGGAAGAGCCTTGTCCAACGACCCACGGAGAGCAACCTCAGTGGAGGTCCAGCCTTCGAAAAAACACCATGAGTTCTTGGAAAGACACGTTTTCTTCTTTTCTGTTCTTTTTATTTCATGTTTCGACCAAGATATCGCACGGCTGGGCCACTCCGCGGGAGCAAAAAAACCTTTGACGTGCAGGAATTTGTACGGGAAAAATCAGGCAGGTGCAAAACGAACACATCTGTATAGCTTGGAGGGTTAACACATATTTCCATCGTTTCAAAACGACTGCACAAAAGTATCGAGGTATATTGGGAAATCGTTCATGAACGGGGACAATCATGGAGAATCGCTGTGACCGGCCATTGGCAAGATGGAAACAGGGTCGTTTACCAGGGGAACTTCTTTTTCCGTCCGTTTCGGCGTTGGAATCGTGCCGGCGCTCTTTTAAGCGACCCGTTCCGTTCTTCAACGGGATTGGTTTGACGTCGGGAGCCACAAAGCCCAATCGACCCTGAAAGAACGTTTGACGTCCTGGGAAGCTTCAGTTCTAAGTTCCGGTGGGGCAGACGACGGAATTGTTCCCGTCCTCACGTGAGAACATTTCTTTGTTCATCATTGTTCCATATTTCTTGGGAAGCTACTAGGAACAAGTGCATCGCTAGTAGTAACAGGTGCCTTACTAGTAGTAACAAGTGCCTAAGGTGCCGGACGGTCGTTTCACCGAACCAACCGTCCCCAACTTCGTCCCCGTGTCGTCCGACCAAGCAGCCGTCGGTGCCGGCCTCGGGCGCGGTGGAAGAAGCAAAAGGTTTGAGAGAAATTCATGGCCTCGGCTCACTCTGCTCACTCGGAAGTGGAAAAACACAAAAGAACCATGAAGAGCTTCTTTTGGGGGGAAAGTCCGGTCTTTCAAAAGGATGGACCATGCCAGCGAGTCAGAGTGTTTTTGCGTTTGGTGAACAAAACAAGAACACCACCGACCACTACCGACCTCTGATGGATTCCACACACACCGTCTCTCTCCAATTCCCAGCCGATTCCGTTGGTCGGGCCGCCGCACTGACAACACACACCGACTGCCTGGCGAGGTCAAGCGTTGTCCGTCGGTGGCAGACCATTGGAGACGGGTTTGAGGATGTCGCTGTGTGTGTTTTCGATGTCCCTTTTGATCTGAAGGGCCACTGCATCACTGACTCACCCTTCAGCCGGAGTCCAAGCATCTGTTTCCACAGCCTGGAAAGGGCCACTGGTGTCATATGTCCAAACACCACCTGTTCAACATCAGGCGCTCTCTCTCTCTCTCTCGTCCCTAGTGGCCCATGGGGCAGGTTCCGCAATGCTCTTCACGGCCGTCGGTCCATATCGATCTACCATGATCTCCATGAAAAACCCATTGCTTCCAGGCTTGATGTCCAAGGTGAAACATAATAGATAGCATGCATCAAAACATCCGGAAAGAAAGGAAAACAGAAACAAACAGCCCACTCGTTGCTTCATTCACTCTTCATTCACTCTTCCTTCCCACACAACGTTCCACCCTCGGGATGGTGTTTTTGCTCTTTGGATCCTCTTTGTCTGCCTTTTCCCTCGCCCCGACAGGACGAGTCTCCCATCCACTCGATCGCGATTCCCGTTTTTCGCCTCGACGCCCGAGGCCTCCTGCGCTGGGTGACTCCTGTCGGTGATACCCGGATGATTGGATCGATCTTTGAACCCTCGAATGCAAAAGGTCTATCTTGTATGAATGAACCCATTTCAACAGAACAAACTAGCTGAAACCATAGGCATTGGTTGGAGAAGATCTAACTAGGTCGGTGAATTGGGGTCACTCATAGTCACTCCATCCTGTTCCTTGGTATGACAAGGCCAAACCCTGTGTCAACAAGCTGCTGCTGTTTGGGGCGTTGGAACACCTGGCTCCGGTATGCTCCCATCCCGTCCGTATCAAGCGCTCAATGCTCCCCGCTTGTCATGAGACCCAGCCCAGCCAAAACAGTGACCTCAGGATTTGAAGATCGATTTGAACACAGAAGGCTTCCTCCGGCATGTCGCTCTCGATAAGTCGGTGAAAAAAAAACGGCTTCCTCCGCGTCGTCCGTGAAAACCGACCCTGAAAACCCGCGTTTTCGTGCGTTTCGCCTGGAGGCGGAGCGTCGTTCCAAGGTCTTCAGGAAGGCCACGTAGTCGCCCCGAGGCTCCTGGTTTCGCTCGCCACGAAGCTGTCGGAGCGATCGGACGGGACGCGACTGTCGTGTTGGAGTTCAACGAAGACACGGCGTCAGACGAAGCTGGCGCAATTTGGTGTCCGAAGACACGTCGTCTCCCACTTCCTCCTCAACTCATAACCGCGAACTCAAAAAGGTTCGCTAGTAGAAACAAGTGCCACGCTAGTAGTAACAGGTGCCTTACTAGTAACAAGAAGCGAACGTAGAAACAAGAATTACTTTTTCTGGTGTTCCAAAGGAAATGTTTCGTTCGTTCCTTCGAGATCTTCTCATGCTTCCCCCGTCTGGCTGGCGCGAACGCGCATGGACAAACACACACGACCGTCGTCCTCGGCCCGGGCGATGCCTCGCCAATCCGCCTCTCTGGCCGCCTTGGAGGTTTGGGAGGTCCCCCCCAACCCCCATCATCTCATGTGTCGTCCCTGATATCTGTTGTTTTTTCCAAAACAAAGAGCGAAACCGGAAAATATGGGCGGAAAGATGTGACTGAATTGGGCCACCCAAAGAGGTGCCATGCAACTGTTCCAGCCATCTGAACCGGGAAGCCACCGGGAAGCTACGCGAAGCTACGCCACGCTTTGGCCTCGTTTTGGGCGTAGTGGTAGAGGCTTAAGATCTCATCATCTGAGAGCTTCAAGACCTGCCAGGAGCAGGGCAGGAGCTTAACATCTGGCCAGGAGAAGACTGCCTTACCATAGCAGTGGGCCTGTGGGCCTTTGCTTGCAATAGGGCAAATCCGGATTCCGGATTCGCCACTTCTTCATTCCAAGAGCCCAAAGACTTGGACTTCGCCACGCTTCGGCATGGCGCGCCCGCGGACCGGGTGACTCTCCGGCTTCGCCCCGCCTTCTTCACCAGCGCCGGAAGCGGCGTGGACGCGCCCGCCGAAAAAGAGAGCGGACCCTGCAATGGCGTCGGTCACGCGGCCCGTCTGGGCAAGCAATCAGTGTCCTAAAGTGTGAGTCGCGCCCATGACGCTCGCTTATGGAATGGGATACTGATTGCGTGCCCTATGCAATGGAGGGTCTGTCTCTCTGGGGAACCAACATGGACATACATGGTTCCCGTCGTCCCTCAAAAGCCACGTCTCGAGCTGCTTCTGTTTCGACCTGTTTCGCTTCACCTTGATTCGACGTGTCGTGCACTTCGGTTCCCGTCGGCCGTTGATGACGCTGGTGACAAGTTAAAGGCGAGTGTTCGAAAGCGAGCATTCTGACGGACGTTGCCGGGGTATCTCCCCACGCTTAGTCTGCCGGGTTTAAGATCCAAGTGCATTCCACCTCCAATCAAACAATCATTTAACACATCATACGAAAGGATCCATTTCAACCTGAAGTATAGAAGAAAATGCTCTGACATGCTAAGCCTTCCAAAAGAATCATTTAAGATATACTAAGTTACTATGCCATGCTCAGCCCCATTTCGGAAGACTCAGCTGCTTCTCCCCGCTTCTCGCCTCGCCCGCGCCCGCATCGGCGGACTCGGTCGGTGCGCCATCCGAAGGAAAAATAACAGACACCAGCTATGTTACAACGAAGGGTTTTTTCATGAAGATCACAAGTTCTCAACATCGGTTGGGATTGGATTTGAATGATTTGTGTTCCCAGTAACATCATTTAAACAAAAAGCCACATGTTGTGTAGATGGTGGTCCAATGGAACGGAGAGAGAGCGCCCCAACAGGGCCACCAAGTGGTATGCGGCCCTGGTGGTGGTGCAAGACACCATGTTATCATCTTTTATCTAAGTCATGCTGAATCACTTACTAAGGCTACACCAAGTGTTGTAAGGAAAATCGAGCATGGTAAGTGATAAAACCCATCCTATTAAATGGTCGAAAGGAATGCCCCAAACACGCATGCACTGGCGCAGGCGAGGAGTGGGTGTTCTCATGTGTTCTCCCACCTTCCCAGAAGACTTCCTCAACTCTTTGGGCATCCCGACTCCACCCATGTTTGGCGGCCTGTGAACAAATTGACCGTCGGATTGGTGAAGGGAACATCTACGATGTCATATCAGGAAACCATGGGTTTTCACCTCCAAAGCCGTTTCCTTCAACCACATTCTCGTCAGTTCTGGGACATCCAACATCCAACATACAGACCATGTACCATTCCCTAATAGCATTTAGGTTGGAGGCCACTCGCTTCCTTGCCTCGGATCGAGCCATCGATGGCCATCCGGTGCCGTGCTCTGACGTGTGAGGTCTTCGCTCCGCGATTCCAAAAAGGGCCGTCCAAAGGGACTACTTTAGGAGCACAAAGGAGCACAGGTACTCCGACTGGAAAGTGGGCTGATTAAATTTCGATCTCTGTAAAAGTCTTCAGCATGGCATGTGCTGAGTAGAATAGAACAGTTCAACACCAAAGAAACCACATGAAGAAAAGCACCCAAACCGCATTACTACTAGTAACAAGTGCATCAGTAGTAACAAGAAGCTACGAACGTAACAAAGGGCATCGCTACAAACGGAGTCAAGGATGCTACGAACGGGGCGCTCTCCTGGCCTTACTAGTTGCTGGTAGCAAGAAGCCACCAGTAACAAGGGTAAATGTTCACTTTGGCGTTCGCGGGTTGAGTGCCCAACAGACACGTCTCGTGCCCCCCCGGGAGCTGGTCTTGAGGCCGTCGCCCCACGGGTCACGCGAAACGCGGCGTTTCACGCGCGCGGCCTGGGGCGGGTCTTGGAGATGGACCGTGACCAGCTGCTGGGGGCACTGGGCTCCATGGCGGCCATGGCAGGAGAAAATGGGAATGACTAGAGAGTGATATTCGTCGTGGGGAGACCGATAGAGAAGCCGTGTCCAAATTCTTTCTAGAAATTAAGCTACTAGTAGTAACAAGAAGCTAGTAGTAACAATTAAGCTTATTTGTTGTTTTGCTTTGGCACGTCATCTCGCTGAATCTAGTGCGGCGGAAGTCGCGTCGCCTTCTTGGGCTTGGAGACGGTGAAAAACCTTCCTTCACTTCTCCCTTTTCCGAGGGCAGCTTGAAAAAGCAGTTAGAAACAGTGACCTGAAGGCCATGGATATCCATGGATCCTTCTGTGCCTTAGGCACGGTGCTTCAGGTTCTTCTAGTGTTTCAAAGCCGACACCTAGTAGCATCGCTCTTGATCTGCCGAGCTTGCCAGCTGGTCCAAACTCTTGCAGGCAAACGAACCGGGTATACGAGTATAGGGTACGTTTTGGGTACCTAAATCAAAGCATTTTGTCACTTCGCCGCACACCGCACATCACGCCAAGCTGGAGCCCAAAAAAAACGAGAAAGCCAAACATCATCTGTACAAGCTTCATCATGTCCTTTCATGTCACACGACCACTTGTCGAGTTTGTTCTAGAAAAGCCTTTCAACGGCAATTCAGCTTGCTCTTCAAGCCATTTCCCTCACCACAAAACGGACCACCACGAGGTCCCCGGTGGTCTCGGACCTTCCGGACGGGGCACGTAGTGCTCGGCATGGACCGGACCTGGCGACCGAGCCCGGTGCGGCACGGGGCATCCAACCGGGGGAAACAAAACGAAGCAACGAAGAAGACACGTCCGTCTTTGGGTGTTTCGTTGGGCCGTCGGTTTCTTTTGGTTTTCTACACCCAACGAAACACCCAGGGACCGTACCCTAGCTGATCTAGCACCAACTATACCAGCTCTGCAGGCCCAGGCTTCAGAACGTCTCTTTGCCAAAGAAAGCATCTCAAAGCGGTGAATGAGATGCCGTTTGCGCATGTGCATGTTGTTGTGATCCAAAGAAGTGGCTGTGGATTTTGTTCCTGATCGTATCCAAAAACAACGGATCCACAGGAGGCTGCCCTCTTCGTCTCATCTGGGCCCTCCGAGCTGTCTGGGTCGCCAGGATGTAGGCGCCCCTGCCGGACCGGTGGGACCCGACGCGCTTGGTGCTGGGAGTCTTCTCGCATTCTGTAGGAAAGATATCGGCAAAGCACCGAGAACATCTCCCGGTGGAGGGGCAATTCTTCCAACACGAGTCGACCAATGGAATGGACGCCCATTGGTCAAAAAAGGAAAACAAGCGTGAACAGTCCGCCTCGTCATCATCGTCCTCCGTTTGGGGGATCGTCATCCGTTTCTTTCCGCGGAAGGGTTTCGTTTCGTTTCGGAGACCGGTGGAACCCTCAGTCCGATGGTCCGTCCTCGACACCGCTGGGCTGATCAGTGAAGATTGCTGTTGAGTATTGGACTCCATGTTGGCATGTTGGGGAGCTAATCCTCGGGCCACTCAGAACCAATGGACACATCTCTGAACACCACACAGAATGTAATCACACAAGGAAAACAACCTTCAACTTCGGCACAGTGAAGCCTTCGACACTCGCTCTTCACAGGTGTCCACCCATCTGTGCTTCGGTTTGGTGCCTCGATTCCGCGTCCTGTGGGTGGACGACTGGCCCACCGGTGGACGAATTCGCAGCACATCCGCCAAATCGATGTTTGGGCTCACGGTCCACATCTATCAGGGCCAGTGATCCCCCCGGTTTGCGGTTTTTCTAGTGGACATCCCGAATCACCTCTAAGGAGCTATAATTGGACACCCCTGGCCCCGGGGGCCCTAAGGAAGATGTGCACGGATCGAAACCGATTTGTTCTGTGGCAAGTTTCTGCAACGGAATTGGACACCTCAGCGCATGTTGGCGCTCAAAAAAGAAAACAGCTTCTGCAAATCCACAAACCCTCACCCCCACATTTTCGCGATCTCTTCATTGGTCCACAGGTATCCCGTTTTAATCCGTTTTACCTCCCAAATATCCCCCCAAATACACATGCTGCAGTTGACCCTTGACCGAACACCAGATGTCCGTCCTGCCCCGGTGGCCACTTTGGACCCTTTGGGCACATCTGCCTCGGCTCGGCTGGTCAGCGGGGCCGGTGACTCGGTTCTGGGAAGTAGCTGGAGCTCCAAGAGCCCCGCCACGCTGGGTGAAGCCGTGGGGGAAAGAAAAGAAGGCGTGAAAGAGACGTGAAAGAGTCTGTGCCCCTTTTCTTTGGGCGAGACGTCTGGTGTTTCTGCTCGTGCAGCCAACATTTTGAAGAGCGGACGCCAAATGGACGACCTCCCAAACCCTTTGGTTGACCTCCCTGTAGCCAGTCAAGGTCCCCCCTGTGCTATGACCCACTGCCAGCGTGGTAGCTGGCAGCTGATCTTGGCGTTGGTTTCATGCTGTTTCATGCAATAGAAACGCCTCCTGCGCCCATCACGGGGCTCGGAAAGCTTGAAGGCACATGGATGCTTCTTGCAAGGATTCACAGCCTGGATGCCCTTTGCGGCGAATGGGACTCTACGGACATTGGGAGAGCTTTACTGCCGCAACCCTTCGGAAAAAAGCAAGACGCGAAGCATCGAGCTGGTTTTTGGCCTGACACCAGACACCCCTTGAAGCTGTCTTTCATGGGCCACCCTCCATGCGCCTTCTTTGTTTTTGTTCAATACGAAGGCTGTCTTCCACAGCCACTGGTCCCTTCTCCCTTCGCTCGTCCTCGTCTTGCTTTCCTCACCAGATCGTCGCGCCTGTGTCAGCACGAAGGAGAGGAATGGTGCCACCTTTGTCCACCAAATCATTCCATGGCGACCGCAGAAAGATGTGAATTGAACGGTGCTTTTGTGAATCACTGATGGAGGCCGACAAACCATGGCGCGAGTGCTTTTGACACGTGCCTTTTGTAAACTCATATATGTGGCATATCAACATGCCACCATATCTATATATACATCAATATAGGAATTGCATCACATATAGATCGGCAAGCAAATGTTTGTTCCAAGTTCACGATTTGGTGGCTCCTTGGCCGGAAACATTGCGTTGGGGAGATTTGGGGACCATTTTTGTGATCCTGCCGTGCCTGAAGCGAAGTGGCAAACCCTTGGGCCAGAGGCTTTGGAACAAAACCACACGGAACGAGTGGGAACGTCCAAAGCAAAAGGAAGAACATCAAGCCGGCAGCCAACATCCGCTCCGCCTCCCAAAACGATCGAACCCTCTTTTTCGAACGCGACACCTTCTGGGCTTCGCCTCTAAAGCTCCAGAAGGGGTCGCCGGGTGAGACCGGTCGCCCTTCTCGTCGCGAAGAGAAGAAGTGCAGGCGGAATCGCTGCGGTGTTTTCGGCCCGATTGGGGGGTGGGGTGGGTTTTGGAAGGGCCCAACCCGGAAGAAGAGCATGGCAAAATCAGCTGCAGAGCTTTCAAAGGGGTGTTCTGCCTGGAGGTCCACAAGTCGTGCAAGGATCTTGCATATTCTTCGGGAGACACTTCTTTCATGGCAGTCCTTTTTCAGCAGCAACACCCTGAATCTGAAACACATGAACAAAAACACCTCGCGCATGCTGGATGGAACGGCAGCCCATCGTATGGTGAATATGCTTGATATCGGAACCCACCAGAGGGTCCGTCGCAGCGGTGGTCGACAGTCGACTCCTTCGTGGATCTGTTGATCTGTTGGATCGGGTCGGTTTCGGGATCTCGGAGAGCCCAACGCTTGGTCCGGCTTCACCGTGGTCCCGGACACGACTCCGTGGTGACGAAGAAGGGGTTGAAGAAGGCACTAAAACGAAACGGGGAGAACCATTGGAGCATGGAGCGCACTCGTTTGGGCCCGTGATGAGTTCTGCTTCGTTGGAGTTCGGAACCAAAAAAAACCGCTACTGGGAGCAAAAGGGCATCGCTACGAAAGGAGCGAGGACGCTACGAACGGGGCTCCTGGCCGTACTACTAGGAGCAAGAGGATGCTACGAACGGAGCTTGTTCGGAACCAAAAAACCAAAGACCTGGGCCGTCGCGGAACGCAAACCGCGGGCTGGGCAGCGCACACCGCGGGCTGGGCTGCGGGATACGCGCAGCGAAGGAGTGGCCCGGGAAGCGAGTGAACAGAAGAGACAGCTTTTTGGGGCAAGTCACCTAGAAAAGGACCTCTATCTATCATCTATATCTGCATATATATATATGACAAAATCACGGATTCTCAAATCATGTTGCGACAAATTCACCGGCTTGTCACTTCGTGATGTTCACTTCTCCATGACTCAGCCCTTCTTCGAAGGACCGAGAGCCCGCTTTGGGCGCTGTAATACACTGCAGTGTTAGTGACACGGAGGCCGGTGGACCGCCTCAAAAAGACCTCTCCGATGCTCGCCCAAGATCTGTTGGCCAACAGAAGAGCCTTTCCCAAAAGAAAAGGAGAAACCGTCCACGCAAGTGAGCGGCAGAAACGTTTTTTTATTTTTTGTGACCGGATTCCCAGGCAGCATCGAAACCCATCAGCTCCGGTGATATCGAAAGCCCCGAAGTGGTGCCCGCGTGGCTTCGAGGGTGGTTTTCGTGTGGTGGCTGGCCTTCACTCCAACTGGCCGGGGCTTCGTGCATTTATCACAACAAAAGTCACCTCACCTGCTGGATCTTGATTCCAACCTTTGGCATCTGATTGTGGCTCCTCTCCCGGAAAAAAGCACATTGTCACAATGTCTTCTTACTACCCCTTGCCCTACTATTGAATACATGGATGCCAGGTCTTCCTTGCACTCAAAAAGGACACAAAAACTTAGGTGTTCCATTCCTACCCAAAGAGAGAATCCGTTCCTCCTCTGTCTTGTTCGGGGCGACCTTCAATCACCGAAGCTCACCTCCATCACCAATGTGCCTAACGTGCGCCAAGCAGCTGCAAAGGTGGGTCCCCAGCTGCAGCAATGGATCAAGGATCCAAAAAGGCTCCCAAGGGTACCAGAAGTCATGGACAAGAAGTCATCAACAAGGTCAGCCTAAAGTCATCAAGTTATTCGAAGCTTGTTTGGTGGCCGGAAGTCCAAAAACGGCCGGACCGATGGTCGCATCGCTTTGTAGCTAGCCACTGGGTGGTGAGGATGGAATCATGCTGATGGTAGATGCAAATGACTATGCAACTGATATTGACATGTCATGCAAATGCTAGATACATGTAATGCTTATAATAATAATTGTATTATATAGTATACAATAATATATAATATATAGTATATATTATTTGTATTACAGTCCTTGCCAACAAATGACAACGCATCCCTTCCAGGTGTCTGTGTTGAAAAGACCCCAAATGCGTGGGGTTTCTCTTCGGGTAGTTCATCACGAAACATCAACAACATAGACATACACCAACAAATAAATGGACATGCGACTTCACAGCACACATGGAATCGCCATGCCGGCTAGGCGGCTAGACCCTCAAACCCAACCAAAAAAAGACCAACGACAGCACTGTCCTACCCTTCTCCCGTCGGGCTCCTCGGCCTACTTCAAATCCTCCTCCGCAGCGGACATGTCCAAGCCGCCCGTCTGCCGGGCCTGGATCGTCCAACTCGCCGGTCGGACCCGGTGGGGTTCCCCTGGTGCTCCACCTGGGTGGGGAAGAACGACCCATCCCCGAACTGGCTGACTCTTCGCCGGGTTCCGAGGGTTCCTCAGCTGTGACGCGCTTGACCGAGCGAGCGCCGCACTTTCTCCCCTCGGGGGCCTTCTGCAAGTATGGGGAGTTGGCTCGGAAGAAGCCTCAGCAGACTCCGCGAAGCAAACACGACGATCGGAGGCTGGTGACTCTGCGCTGGCCGCGTCCACGTCCCGAACGCTCGATGACTCACGCTGGGTCTCTCTGTCTGAACGGTGCCGAAGCCATTCAGATCTCCAAGTCCCTAAGCCCTCTGCCCTTCCGCCCTTCCAAAGGGAAACACTGAAAAGCCATCGCTAGTAGGTTGGAGGCCACAATAGAATTGTCTCCCCCAAAGTGGAGCCCCTTCAGCCCTTCCTTCGAGCCCTTCCTTCGCGGCCTGGTCGGCTGTAGTCAATGCGGTACCTGGCCGTGGCAGGAGGGTCGGATCCTCCTCATGACGGGCGTTGTCCAGGGTAGAAAAACCCTTCAGAAAGCGTCAATTCACCACCAGTTTTGGACCACGAATCAAACCCAAACACTCCATGTCAAGATCAGACTGCAAGTCACTGGACTGGTCGACTCTCTTCACTCCAAAGCCATCCGCCGTCCCGCCGTCCCCACTCCGTGTCCGGTGTCTGCAGTCACCAGTCCGCGCCACCCCGCGCTCGAGGTCGCTCAGTTGACGGGTTGAGAGAACATGAATCACAATGAGTCAGCCGAATCGCATTCTCTCAACCCGGGCAGGCACATCCAATGAGCGAGCATTCTGCCGAATCGCATTCTCTCAACCCCTCCGAGGTCGACCCGTCATCGACCGGCGTCTGGGGCGCCACGGTGCCAGGCGGAACGGTGGGCGGTGGAAGAAGCAGGTGAACGGTGGGTGGGTGGCGAAGATCCTGGTGAAGGAGGGTATGAAAAAGAGGGCAAAAGCCCAACGGAATGGTTGAACAATCTTCATGAAATCCTCTCCCAAAAATCGGCCATGCGGCATGCGGCATGCATGCGTGGCCAGGAAAGGTGGTCGTCAAGCGTGCCCAGGAACACAACGGTTGCAAAAGCATGAAGAATGAATGTTCCTCGCATTCATCAACCATGATTATGGGCAAGGTGACAATAGAACCTGAAAAAACAACAGTGCAACATGCACAAGCATTGCAAAGTCAACCTTGCCGCTAAATCTTTGGCACATGCCTGGTGACGTGGTGAATGTGAGTTCCCACCAGAAGCTGCTCATTCCGTCCAAGACGTCTTTCTATTTCTTTTGGATGAACATACGAACTGAGGTACAAGCTGAGCACATCCGTAAACCACATGGACCAAATCCAACCACTTCACCACTTCACCACCTTCCTCCCCTCCATCCCAAACAGCCATCAGTCAGTCGTCAACCTCGCCAGGGGCCACGAGGTCGGCACGTTGGTGTACGTGCCGTTGGGGAACCAATTGTTCAACGAACCTGCCCGGAGCGGAGTCGGTCGCGACGGATCTGCACCCGGGGCCCGGTCTACGGTGGACGGTCTTTGGAACTGGTGACCGACCGGGCCCTAGGGGAGTCCTAGAGATCCACTGGGAGTCAGTAAATTGCAGTCTGGTCAGTTTAAAGGATTTTACGAACATCCAAAACCAAAGGCGACGGTGGAATTCGTAATCCTTCTTTTCCAAACACTCCATCATCTAGAAATATGAGAGACAGATTCCAGACATGTGACTCTACATTCATCACCATGGAGCATCATGATGGCATACAAATGCATACAGGGATGAATCAATAGGAATCAATAGGATCACCATATAGATGGAGGCCAGTAGGTTGGAGGCCATCGCAGAGGAAGAAAACACCCATCTGGATGATCGCAGCCACTCGCATCCGCCTTGGCTCCGGAAGCCAGTGCCTTCACCTGTGGGGGGCGACTGCAGTTCTGGGGCGCAGTTCAAGCTGCCAGGAACATCGATACTGGAAGTACCTGGAAGACATGACCAGATCCCAAGAAGCATGTGGTGCTTTACCTTCCTAATCCTAATGGTACCATTATCCGGCATTATCCAACTTCTCATTTGCTTCTCCAAATGGGGTAGAAAGGAACACATCAAACATTGCTGGCACTCAGAGTGAGGAATGACAGCTTGACCGACGTGGAACAACAACACTTTGGGGCTGAAACAGGAGCCAGGAAACGAGCAACGCCCAAACCCTATGCCCTATAAGGCTGTTTTGACATGGAAAACCAATCGAAACTGTTCCTAAACTTAGGTCATTCCATCGGCCAACCAAACGAAGAAACTTTGCCAATAGAATGAACCACACCACTAAAGGGCCCATTCTTTGGCAACCACTTTGCCCCAGGCGGGCAATTCTGGCCATCAAACACGGCTGCTCAAAGCACGGAGGAAAAAGAACACACGAGCAACTCCAGCTAGTTGATGCATGTCTTTTGAGGCCCAGCAATATGTTGACCTTTTCGTGAGAACACACGGTAGACAATTCCTTTCCATGTCAAGCTCCGCTCTGCTCCCGCTCTCTTCGCCTGAGAAGGGGAAGGTGATCATGTTCGCCTGGCCGTTTCGGTGGACGGGATCGCCGCGACGCGGCGCCACGCTGCGAGGACTGAGGAGAGGAGACTGAGAGGAGACCTGCATTCTGCACGATTCGGATCACCTGGAGAAGAAAGCGCCAACCGTCGATTTCGTCCTGCCATGGATGGCTCACCGTTTTTTGAGCCGAAGCTGGGAAGTCCGTCAGCATGCTGGTAGTGCTCTTCGTTAAAGGCAATTGCTGCGCAATGCGCGGACAGAGAATCTTACATCTCTTGAATAACTGAGCGAATAGCATGCGCTTACATAATTCTGCCTGCAGGCTCTTTGGTGAGTTTATGAATGAATAAAACAAAAATCTTTCGTAAGCTTTTATTAGACACCGTGGGCAATGTTTTTTCAAACAGCTCGGTGGATAGCACTTGTGTTTGAGTTGCTGTGGAAATGAACCGTGCTGATATACTCTCGTGTTGCTGATGCAAGAAGTTTGCAACTGAAAACAGCACGCAGAAAACATGAAATGCTTTTTTTGGCGCGACACGTCCGACACGTGCGAACGTTATGTCTGCATTTCATCGCGTATGTCGAATCAAGTAAGCCAGAGACTTTGTTGCAACGGTCTATACCCAGGACTTCTTCAAGACACTCTCGCCTTTTTTCTTTGCGAATGACGGTATGTGCTGTACATTGAGGCAGCAACGCTGCTCTAGCTGCCTTTGGCTTTGTCTTCCGAACGCTGGCATATGCAGCTAAAATATGATGAACGCATATGGGTCAACGAAGATCTCAACCATGACTATGGCCACGACGAACCCGCAAGTGCTCATCTCTAAGATTCCAACAGCTTCTTCGATGTTTTCATCCCAATGCGCAGGGAACAGGGCGAAGGTCCAATTTCCTTTCTGCAGTAGTTCCAAGAGGCATGTTGCCGGGCCGTTGCCGTCGTTCGCTTGCACAAAGGCATGGATCAGCTCGGGGCCGAGCTCGCGATCCTTGATCCACTGCAACGCGAAATCTTCGTCAGCTTGCTCAATCCCGGGGTCGATGTCTGCCTCGTTTCGGACACCTTGCAGAGAGAGGTCAGTGCAGCCCGTTCATGCCCAGGACATAGACTTCGGTGAGTGCTCTTTCCAGCATTCCTGGGCATGCAATCGGGCGGCCTGCTATCCCCAGCAACGTCCCAGCTTGCAGCCACAACTGTTTTGCATTGCTAGCAAAGGCTGCTGGCAGCGGTCCCTCCGGGATTGCTTGCTTGTTCCAAGGCCCATCCTCACCGCGCGCAATCCAGAGGTGCTTGTCCAGAAGCTTCCAGCTATCCAGGGAGATTGCGCTCCGCGAGGTGCTGCAAAGACGCGCCAAAGCGGGCACGTCCAGGAAAGATTGCGCCAGCAGCAGTTGCAAAGGCGAAGCCATGAAGCAAGGAGCGAAAGCTCGGTGTTGAAACGCTGCTCTTTATTCGCAGCTTGCAGTGGCTGCTTTGATCCGCAACCAGCAGTGGCAAGCCATCTTGTTTATCCAATGCGTCTCAGTGACTTCATTCGTGCGCAATCATTTTGTGAAATTCATTCGTGTGCAACTTGTTGGGTGTAGTATGTTCTTTACGTATTGTGCTTTTTCGCTTCCGTTGTTTGGCTTGTTCTTTCTTGTCTTCTCTTAGTGCGTCTTGCTTGCGCAAATCGTCTTGTCCTTTTTTCTGATCCGCTTGCATGCTCATTGGCTTGGCTTTTCTTTCCCATTGCTCTTTGCTTTGCTTTGTTTGAAGATCTCCTTTGTGTTCCGGCTAAACCGCCTGTCCTTTCTTCTTGTCTGGTTCCCTTTCTATCTTTCCTTCCTTTGTTTGGTTTCTTTCTGGTGCTTTTCTCTTGTCCGAGGTGCTTTCTTAACTTTTTTCTTCCTCTTGTGCTTTGCTACTTCTCTTTGTTGTCTTTTTGTGCGCTTTCTTTTGTTTCCTTGCCTTTTTCTAACCTTTCTTGTGTGTAGCCGGCTTGTGTTCATCCCTTTGTAGCGGTTACCTTCACGGGATATGGTTCTTAATGATCCCGGGGACTTCCTTCAACACAAGACTGTTACACGCTATATAGTGTAATTCTCTGCGCTCTTGAGCGGCCTGTGACGTCCCCTCAAGTTGGGGCGCCCGGGAGACGGTAATTTTCCTACACTCTAAAACGGCCTGTGGCTTCTGTCATTTTTCAACCCCTCAAAAGGACATCAAATGGAGCCTATGTTATGGGATTCAGAATAGGAGGAAGCCCAGGCCGTTTTAGAGTGTAGGAAAATTACGGCCTCCCGGGCTCCTCGTTTTTGGTGGACGTCGCAGGCCGTTTAAGTCTCTCTATCTCTCTTTCTCTCTTTGCGTGTCTTAAATCACGGTTTGGCCGAAGCGCCGCAGGAACAGCAGGCAAAGTGGGCACATGCATGCTCCACGCGAATGGCCTCCATGTCCTCAGCTGGCGCGCGTATGGCTCTTCAGTTCTTGTTGCCTCTCAAGCCCTTGTATATTTTCAGGCCCCAGCGATCCGAACAGGCGGGAAGAAAGAGGTTGAACACAAGTGTTTGATTGATGCAAAAGGCTTCGATCGGCGATGCAATTCTTTACGCTCTTTCTGTAACAAACCAAAGCAAAAAACCTGCCAGCCACAATCTAATGGAATGCATTACGTTCGATTCAAACGACGATTCGTTCATTTCATGTTTCTTTCTGCTCCTAACTGATATGTGCATCTCTTCTTCTTTATTGCGCTTGCTTTCTTTTCTCTTTTCTTCCTCTGCGTTATGCGATCTTTTGGTTTACGGTCGGTTCCTTTCTGGTTTGCTCTGTCTTTCTCTGTTCTTTCTCTCTGCTTTCCTTGCGTTCTTTCTTCCTTCGACTTTCGGGTCTTGAACTTTTCCTCTCTTTTTGTTTCGTCTTTTCCGGCTGTCTGCCTTTCTCTTCGCTCTTTTCTGTCCGAGTTTGCTTCGCTTTTCGGTTGCTTCGGCTTTTTCTGTGCAGCGTCTCGTTTCCTTGTCCTTTTCCAGTCTTCTTTGTGTGTAGCCGGCTTCGGGGCGCCAATCTTGAAGGGACATGTGGTGTCTGATGATTCCCGGGGACTTCTTTCAACACAAGTCCGCTACACACTATATAGTGTAATTCCCCGCGCTCTTAAACGGCCTGTGGAGACCGTAATTTCCCTACACTCTAAAACGGCCTGTGGCTTCTCTCATTTTTGAACCCCTCAAAAGGACACCAGGGATTAGAAATAGGAGGAAGCCACAGGCCGCTTATGCAGAGTCTGCTGTTCTCCGAGCAAACATGCGGACTAGCTGTTCTTCGCAGTTTCACACCTGAGATGAATGAACCAACCAAACATTTAGCAGGCGTGCTTTCTAAGCTCCCCACGCGCCAACCGCACGCACATAAACCGCGCACGCACCCGCCGCGTTCCCCGCTTGGCCTTCTTCAGCTTGCTGAGGCCGGACATATTGAGGCGATCCCTGTGGAAGGCGCGGTGGTGGCACCGTTTGAAGACACCGAGAGGACCATCTGGTATCACCGGTTCCATGGAGGGGTGCGGGGGGGGGAGTTGAGTGGTTCTTTGGGAAGTTGGGTGTTTCATGTGACATCACCATGAAACGGTTGGGAGCAGACACTGGTTAGACACCTCAGCCAGAAATTCCATGGACATTGAGGTCGGACACCTCATCTCTCACTTCGCTTGTGAAGTCGGACCATGCGGTGGACCAGTCAATCCAATCCATTCCGGCCCCCCCGATCTCGTCCGCTTCATGACCAGTCAATGGTCCGTCCGCTTCGTCCGCGAGACCGGCCGTCGCGGAGGAGTTGGAGCGGAGGAGTTGGGATGGGCACCGAAGCAAACCGGGAATTGGAGTCACGATGAAGTCATGGTATATCTACATGTCTTGATCTATGTTGGGTCTATCCCATTACAGTGGATGATGATGGTTCAGTTGCAGGCCTTCTTCAAAAATGATGAGAATTGTTTACTGACGGCTCTACAGGACATAGGACAGACCTTAGATCTATACCTGATGATCTACATGATCTTCCAAACCCTTTGGAAGATGCCTTTGTGGCGCCGCATGGCGACCGGGTTTCGTCCATCGTCTATCCGCCTGTGCTCGCGCTGCAGATTCTTGGGCACCTGAAGCAAAGCATCGCGGGCGGCGAGTTCTGTTTGTGACCAACGAACCCCCCAAACGGTCCGTGTCCGGACTTGAAAGCAGGAGCAAAAAGGAGAGCCTCACATCTCGCATCGATCACACCAGAGACAGTGCTCTGCCCAAAAAACCCACTGAGCCCTCCGACGAAATAGGAGAAGTGCGCATCCTCCAGCTTGTTGATCAACGGGTTGCGCTGGGCACGGTGGGGCACAGTGGCACGGGTTTGTCTCCGCCACGGTGGCACGGTCCGAACTCTGCTCAGCTTGCTGGGCCGTTGGTACTGCCGTTTCTTTTCTGTTCAGGTTGAAAGACTTTGTTCAGGTTTTTGCTCCAAGAAAGGCACCCCCGACACTCTAACTCCAAAGGGATTGAAAAGACTACGGATGTCTTTCTTTGATCCTTTCCAGAAACTGGGACTGTAAACATCCATTGTTCTTCGAGACAGCGAGACATCCTTTGAATGGCATTGAATGGATTCACGAACATGAATTCACAAACATCAAAACCAGCAAGGTCAAAGCCCTTCTCATGTGGAACATCTATTCTTTTGTCCCAAAGATCCCGGTGTCTTCGACCCGTCGCCCCGTCGACGACCCGGCGCCTCCGAGAGCTTGGGCGGCGCCTCGCTCCGCCGGGAGATCGTGGGCAGCGAGAAGGTCTGCCGCGGCGGAGAGCGGGGGCGGCGGCGAAGAACGCAGGAGGCGAACAGGTAGTTCAGCTTCCGATTTGCTGAAGCGACAAGATGATGAGATACTATGAGATACTAGACTATACTAGACTCACTTGTCTCACATCGTTTTAAAGACGAAAGAACCGAAACGGAGCTGTACAACATGTGGAGCGGTATATTGATACACTGACAGCATGGTCAATTTGGTGGATCTCCCCCCATGACTCTGATCTGTCACTCTTGAGATGCGCTTATCCCAGAAAACACACCTCTCGGATTTGCTTCTCTTTGCTGTCCAACCTGGAAAAGAAGGGGGATTTAACCAGGGAAAACGATCGTATACGCAGCTCGACCAGGTTAATGATGTTAATGACAACCCCCCAAAACCCACAGAGTCACGTCAGGTCACCACACACTCCGGTCACTGGCCTTCGCCATCGATGCCTTAGGTGACAACGTGGCCTTGGCCACTGGCGAGTCGTAGGTCCTGGCGTTCCGGAACGCCAGGAGCTCCGGCAATTTGGAACGCCAGGTTCTTCTTCCATGTTTCTTCCAGCAAAAGACACAAACATCTCCATCTGTTTGACCCCCCAAAATGAACAGCTGAAGTATCTCATCCCATGTCCCATGTCATCCCCTCCCTCGCCTGAGCATCTCATCCACGTCATGTCGCTCAAAGACCTTGCGGTCGTCCGGCTCCTGGGTTCCACCGGAGCGGTTCCACCGCGCCGCTGCGCGCGATGAGCGCCATCGTGGTCGCGGTGAACGTGCCCCTTGATGCTTCTTGTTTACTAGTATAGAGTGCTCCTAGCTAGTAGCGATGCCAGGAGCCCCGAACGTAGCGTCTTGCTCCGTTCGTAGTAAGGCCAGGAGCCCCTAGTAGCTTCTTAAGGTGCCTTCTAGCAAGGACGCTACGAACATAGCTCCTGGCATCGCTACTAGTAACAAGGGCATTGCGATGCCCTTTGCCAGTAGCGAGATTCTGATGCCCAAAGTCACTTGGTTCATCTTCTCACGAACTCACTTGGCTCATCTCATCTCATCTTACATGCGACTGGTGCATGCCACTTCGCGGCGATCAGATTCCACCGCGGGGTGAGACTCCTGGATGCGGGTGATGGCCATATGCTCACGCGGGTTGGGGATGTCGGTGTCTTCCGTCAAGGCCTTGGGAAGGGTCGCTCGTCGAACCGCAGAAAAGCCGGAAGGCCAAACAACAAATGCCCAGGTGGGGGGCTCAATTTCCATTGAACAAACAATGCATTGACGTGTTCACTGGAAATGAGGGCTGGTATTGTTTAAGTTTGTGCGTTCCTTTTCACCTTGGGTTGGATGATTCAAGTTTCGCCAGGGACTTCTTCGGGGGTCTTCGGATCCCTCCTGTGTACCACGGTGCCCGGTACCCTTTTCTGTTTAGAGCAAGACAAAGATCTGGACATCTTTTGACGAGTCCAAGAAGCAAGGTCCGCATTTGCCAACCTGGCATGGGCAGTGTCAGCAATGCCAAATCGATTTCGGAGATCGACTGACAATCGATCATGAAGAAATCCAACACTTCAAGGACTTCCACGACGTAGACTGATCACTACAGCGGGTCTCAATGCTATTTTCATCTCTCCCTGCATGTATGCATGTAAAAAAGGAGGATTTTAACACAGATCACATCTCGCAAACCCAGCGACCCAGCTGTTCCATGCTTCTTCCTGTTCCATGCTTCCATCTTCATATGTTGCAAACACTGGCCTGCCGGCCGAATGCGCCTTCCACCAACACCAAAGCCCCAAACAAAACCCACCAGACCCACCCAGGTCTGGCAGACCACCCGGTTCCGCGGTACGAATGCGCCTTCCACCCCGCCTGCTGGCGATGGGCCCCGGCGCGGAGTAGCCGAAGTGGTCCCGGCTGCCCGGCTGATGGATAGCCGTGCCTCACGCGGTCGGGCGGTCAGGTCAGTGGCTGCTGCCGGTCAGTGGCAAGACTAAGAAAATACGATCTCCCAAAAAGAAGAACAGAAGCCACTGGTCAGTGGAATTCCTTGCGATCTGACCCTGGCAGGAACCAGAAAAAACGACACGAAGGACCGCTCTGGACACCGCCCCGCCTGGAGGATAGGGGCTGCGCGCGAAGGATCGCATCTCGTTCATCACCTGGCGAAGGAAGGCCAGCGAGCTGAACAGTAACGCAGGTAGCCGCAGGTAGGTCGTAGAGCGAGCTCGGCTGCGTCGTGGTAGGTGAGCCTCTTCCTTTTTTTCGGGAGGACTTTGGGCAAGAGGCACACGGTCGGTTTGGTCGCGGCAAGTCTTGGTCGCCGATGTCTGAGGTTTCTCCTTCCATGGCCATGGCTTTTATCCCACCCAACTCGCCTCATAGGTGGTCTTCCAGTTGTCTGCCTCCGCCTGGCAGTTGTCGTCGCAGAGAGACTGCGGCCATGTTGGAACTGTTCCCTTTTTTTGTGCGATGCGAAAACGCTTTCAACAACCACCACCACAACCAGAACCATGCTTTCCCATCCGTTTCTCGTCCAAAGACATGGATCGAAAGCGAATCGTCTCTCGCGACGGGCCCCACGTCTTCGGCCGGGCCGATCAGATTGGGCACCTCCATCCCCACAGGGTAGAATCGGTCCGTCATGTTGCACCTGGACACCAAGGAAAGCCAGCCGGATGCCAGTTCGGGGGGCAAAAACAACAGCCGAACTGTCCACCGGGTGGAGCGTTCCGCTCCACCGGGTGGAGTGTTTTCTCTGTCCCCTTTTTTTTGAACAACAAGTTTTCGCACCCCCAAAAACAGCGTTTTCTTTTCCCATCCCTGGCGGGGGTTGGAAGATGTCGCGCGGCGGGATGGGATGGACTTCACTGCAAACGGCGGAAACGGCGAGAGGGAACTCCTCTCGCCCTCGCCCCCAAGACATCGAAAGCACCAAAAACAACAACGATAACAGAAGATGTTTAAACATGTTTTTTTGACACTGTTTTTATACAACACATAGTATGTTTTGATGTGTTTTTTATGGTTCTTTTTTGGGTTCTTTCGTTTCCATCTCTTTTTTCCACCAAAGAAACCGCCCACCGCTCTCAGCCGCACCATCCGCTCGCCTCGACCGACCCCCGGGGTGCACGTCGATCCGGCCGCGGAGCGCGGGAAACGCGTTACGCGTCGGGCTGTCGCTCGAAACGGAGCGGCTGCGGAGAGCGGCCCCGCGGTGGCGCTGAAACCGGCGAAGAGGTACGACGATTTGGGGGAGAATTGTTTCGACCAGAAATCTACATCATGGCCTTGATATGCCTTGATTTTGATGAGAGATGGATGTTCTATCAGCAAAATACATCAAAAAGTATACCAAGGGAATGCATTTCATGCACGAGCAACCCTGGATATCACACCGGCATGCCCTACTCCAGGGTATCACAAATAATGCTCTGGTCTTCTGAATGGTTTTGCCGGTGATGACAACCACAAAGATGCTGAGTTTGTCAGGCCGGACCACAAGACACAACATCTTCCTCAAAGATGTAGGTGGTTCCACGTCGTTTTTTCATGTTCAGAGAGGACTTGCAGTTCAACCGCGGAGAACAAGGATTGATTTGGATCACACTGACATGCAGGCGATGTCTGACGGAGCACTGACATGCACTGACGCACGACGCATTTTAGTGAAAATACATCCGGTCTGGCCATTGTCAGCCTTTCACCTACCTTTGATTGAAACCGAGGTTGTCAAAGACCGCATTGAACGTGGGAGCCCATTGTTCGCCGAGCTATGGCCATATTTCTTGCTTCCACAATGCTCGAGGCCATCACAATTAAGTTGGAGGCCATCGCAATTAGGTTGCAGGCCATCGCTACTAGGGTGGAGATCATCGCTATTAGGTTCCTTGTGCTATAAGGTTGGAGGCCATTGCTAGTAGGTTAGCGGAGAAAGGCGCGCAGCACGCGTGGCGTGCGCAGCGCAATGCCCTCAATCCTTCAGGAGCCGTTCCTGGCTGCGACGGTTTTTTGTCGACCAAATCGGTGGTTCCTTGATGTGATGCAACACTCCAGATGATGGAAAAAGAACTGAAAACAACACATACACCCTTGCAGAGCAACATAGAACCTGAAAACAGGTATCTGGTAAAGGAAAACGTTCTTCCCATGGTCTATGATTAGGTTCTATGTCAGTTACCCCCAAGTTTGGTGGTTTACAGTCTTGGACACCCCCATCTGGAGGTAAAAACAAGCGGCCAAACCGGTCATCATGCTCAGCAACACCCGGTCTTCTTCGTTCCTTGCTCTTGTCTTCCAAGAGCTTCTGCTCGGCTTCTTCTCCAGGAGTCAGGATCCTCTTCGGCCGCGACGGTAGGCCGTAGAACGGTAGGGAAAGACTGACCGCTGACCGCCGGATCCGTCGGATTGAAACAAACGCGGATCAATACCGGCACCAAACACTTTCCCGGTTTTTCAAGTGCCACATCTTCTGCGACCATGGAAAAGGTTGTCTTCATCTCTCTATCTCTCTCCCTATACAGGTCCAGTCTGACGCAAAATCCAGGTCCTTTACCTGTTCGTAGTGTTTTTGACGATCAACTTCGGTTAAACTGAGGTCAGTTGTAGAGACTGTATAAACATTGTCGGCCGTCTCTCTCCCTCTCTCTATTAGCTTGGAGGCCATCGCTAGTACTCTCTCTCTCTCTTCTAGGGCCCCCGAGCTTGCCCTGCTCGCCGATGCGCTCGAAGATCTGGGGCGTGCCGTCCGGCTGAGACTCCAAGGCTTCAATGACCTTGCGGACGGACTTCGACCGGGTCGGAGGGACGGGCGGCGGGTTACTTTTGGGGCTCGCGGACATCACGGATTGGCCGTAGCTCAAATCACATATCCCCTAGGCTTCAAAGGTCAAGTTTAACTAGGCCGTTGCTGGAGGATC